CTAGTCAAATACAGACCATATCAACACATAAGGGTACCTTCAGGGTAAATCGATTGTCGTTCGGTATTAAAACCGCCCCATCAGAATTCAACCGTATAATCGAACAAATATTGTCCGGCCTGAAAAACACAATGTCGTATTTCGATGACATCATTATACACGGAGCTACGAAAGCAGAATGTACGGAAAATTTGATGAATTGCCTCCAACGGTTAAAACAGCATAATCTGCACCTAAACAAGAATAAATGTTCTTTTTTTCAAACACGCGTAGAATATCTTGGCTATGTTATTCACTTCAACGAAATCTCGAAGTCTCCATCGAAAGTTCAAGCGATCACTGAAATCCCACGTCCAGTTTTTGCTGACGAAGTCAGGAGATTTTTAGGCATGGTGACTTATTACGCCCGTTTTATACCGAATTTGTCGTCAATAACATACCCTTTACGTCAATTACTACGAAAACACGTAAAGTTTTATTGGTCTTCCAACTGCGAAGCAGCATTTTCCAAATTGAAAAATATCATCTCCAGCGAAAAGGTCTTAATACCCTTCGATCCAGAGTTGCCAGCTATTGTTGCCTGCGATGCGAGTCCTACAGGAATCGCAGGGGTAATATCTCACAAAGTCGGCGACATCGAACGTCCGATTGCATACGCATCCAGATCGTTAACGTCGGCTGAACAAAATTATAGCACTAGCGATTTTGTTCTCCGTCAACCATTTTTTTATGTACCTGGACGGAAGGAAGTTCCAACTGGTCACTGACAATAGGCCCTTAACACGGATATTTCATCAAAGTAGTAAGCTTCCGGCTATGACATCAGCAAGGTTGTTGAGATATGCTGAATTTTTATCAAGCTTCAACTACGAAATTGTGTATAAAAATGGTTCAGAACACGTAAATGTGGACTGCCTCTCCAGAGCTACAACAGCCGTAGAAAGAGTATCCACAGACAAACTCATCAACGAAAAGGGCAAATGAATTATGCCACTTATCAATTTTCGAAATTTCAAATGAATACATAAATGCTGAAATGCTAGCACAAGAAACGGCAAAAGACCCTGATCTTTCAAAAATTTTAACTAATTTACTTAATACAAATGAAAACGAAAACAATTATATTATTTACAATGGCATAATATTTAAAGGCCAGAGAATTTTGATTCCCTAGAACTTACAGCCCCACATTTTACGTGAACTCCACCACACACATCCAGGCATAACGAAAATGAAACAACTAGCAAGAAGATACTGCTACTGGAAGGGAATCGATCGCGATTTTGAGAGAATGGTAAGATCGTGTGAGGCGTGCGCCCAGGTTCAATCAAAACCAGCAAAAGTTGCACTTCATCATTGGGAGGAACCAACCGGTAACTGGGCAAGGATACATATTGACTATGCCGGCCCTTTCCAAAATCACCATTTTCTAATAGTTGTCGATGCAAAATCGAAATGGGTTGAGTTTCGGGCCATACGGAATTCACCAACCACGCTAATAACAATAAGCCTTTTAGCAGATATTTTCTCCACACACGGATTTCCGTCAATATTAGTATCCGATAATGCCACTATTTTTACCAGTGAGATCTTCAAAGCATATTGCAAGGAAAATGGTATATTTCAAAAACTCATAGCTCCAGGACACCCAAGTACCAATGGACTGGCTGAAAGAAATGTCCAGACGTTGAAAAACAAGCTGAAAGCTATGACGTATGAATCAGGATCTATCCAGTCAAAACTTAACGAAATCTCGCAAAGATATAGAGCAACACCGCTGATGTGTGGGAAAAGTCCGGCAGAACTCTATTTGAACAGACGTATTCGTATCAGACTGGACGCACTGAAACCTACCGCGAAGGTTAAGTCAACTATAATCACTCCGGGTGTGCGACAAATAAGCGTGGGGGAGAGAGTACAAACTCTACACACAATGAATAATAAAACCATCTGGAAAATGGGGATTGTCCTACGTAAGTACGGCAAGCTGCATTACCTAGTAAAATTAGATGACGGGTACACTTTAAAACGCCATATCGACCAACTTAAAGTAACTAGCGTCGAGAACCGAAAAGTTAGATTCGACCCAAATATTGTAGTTTTAAACGACTCTACGGCACACGATGAAAAGCAACACAATGTCAACCCCACAATGTTATCAAACCGACACACTGTCGAGCCATCAGCACTAATAAACTATCCGGATGCCGAACCACCAACTCGCCAAAGTCAAAGCAATCTCGAAGAGCTTTCGCCGCGAAACCAAGGAAATCGGGACGGTACGGAAATGGAAACGCCTAGAACACAAGTACCAGGAGCTCAAAATCCTCAGCAAAGTCAAGAAACGTTTATACGAAGATCAGAACGTGTACGCAAGAGGCCGACGCATTTACACGATTATATAGCTTAATAAATATTATAAATTCATTGTAAAATTTAAATATCACATCTATCACAAAAAATGTAATTAGTTAAACCATGTTAAGCGTGGGAGACTGTTGTGACCACCACATTATATTGTACACTACGCCAATATGGCATCACCGTTCATAAGTGACAGATCTATGATAGGTTAAGATTATATATATTCGTAAGGAAATAAAGAGACTAGTGAATATAAACCGCGTGCTGTTTTCTATAATTATCATACACCAAAAGTCCAACCTCAACAAAAACCAAAAATGCATATCGATAATATTTTTTTCACTGATTTCAACTACACCAAAATTATTTGGCGCAAGTAAGTAAAAAATAAAAGTTAAAGTAAAATTTGTCGATGCTTTAGAATGTTATGTGGAATATGTAGTGTAGTAGTTAGCAGTGCGCGCTACCACTACGCAGGGCCTTGGTTCAAGCCCTGGTCAAAGCAAAATCGCAAAAAATATAGAAAAAGGGTTTTTTATTTCCGTTGGTGTTCATAATTTATATGATCCTTATTTCTTTATTTTTTAACCAAAAATACTAAAAAACAAGTTATTTGTTCATGCAATAACCAGAGACCCAAACTAATTATTTTCCTAATATTTGGGATCAAAAACGTCTTGTTTTAAAATAAATTTTTTTGTCTTTGTATAATCATTATTTATGAGAAATATATTTTTTCGCCTCGTGGGACGATTATTTTCAGATGGAAATTATTTATTTATTATTTCCCATCTCGCGGCACGTCTATTCCAAGACAACTGATTTAATTTTCATAAATATGTAGGATTTTCATTTTTCTCATCTCGCGGGACGTTTATTTATTTCAATGATTTAGTCTTAATAGAATTGTTAATCGTACAGCCGATTTCACGAAATCAAACGCAACTGTCTCCGAGGTCGATAGTTTGAATTTGGTTTTCTATCATCTGGCAAACACGTAAAAACAAACCCCTTTATTTGATTTATATAAATGCAATTACAAGCAAGTGGCAAACGTACACATACATATTGTTGTTCATTCAAACAAAGGCCTCTCTTTTACGGAAACACAATAGAGAATTCGGTTTAGTAAGGGTTATGATCCCTAAGCGCAGCCAAAGACCTACGCAGAAAGGAGTTCCGCCCCTCTTTCCGGCAACACCGAACGGAGAGTAAGGGTTATGATCCCTGAAGGCCGCCTACCCATTAAGAAGTTCTGCTCAAAAGAACTACATTACCCTTACGCATACCCCATAAGAAATGTTATATATCCTTGACAAAATATTTTTTTAAATGGCGTTTATCTAAAGTTTTCTTTTCAAAATTATATATACGTCCTGTAATAGGTACTTAAATTATTTTTAAATTGGCATTAATAGTTGTCTAACCACTTAGTAGTTTGCGAGCTATTTATAATAATAGAATGGATTGGCGCTTACAGATATGTTAGTGTTTGGCCGAGCTTCTCCTCCGATTTGTGGCGTGCGCCTTTATATTGTCACACAAAGCCCCTACAGTTTTACGCCGACTCCGAACGGCGATTGTATTTTTATGAGAAGCTGTTTTTCATGGCAGAAATACACTCGGAGGTGTGCCATTTCCTGCCGAGAGACGACCGCTGTGCGTGCGCCATTATATTGTCACACAAAGCCCCTACAATTTCACGCCGACTCCGAACGGCGATTTTATTTTTATGAGAAGTTGTTTTTCATGGCAGAAATACACTCGGAGGTGTGCCATTTCCTGCCGAGAGACGACCGCTGTGCGTGCGCCATTATATTGTCACACAAAGCCCCTACAATTTCACGCCGACTCCGAACGGCGATTTTATTTTTATGAGAAGTTGTTTTTCATGGCAGAAATACACTCGGAGGTTTGCCAATTCCTGCTGAGAGACGACCGCTATTAAAAAAAACGAGCTATTATTCATAAAAAAAATAGAAAACTTGAGCTTTAACATCTTGCGCCATATTTTGGTATAGTTGAAATCGGTGTAAGAGGTACAATCGATATGCATTTTTTGTTTTTCCAAAAATAAACGGTTGGTATACTATACGCGTTCCAAGATGAAGCACCACAGTGTATCGTATCGTACCGCACCTCTTTGAGGGCTTCTGCTCTCGTTATCGCATCAAATACGATAAAGTATCGCACCGGTAGTATCACATCTGAGGCTTCCTTTAATCAGCAGATGTCTCCTCTTTGTGTTTCCGGAAAAGGGGGGCTTACCAAAACCTGTACTGGGTGCAAATAGTTTTAGCATGTACAAAACCCGTGTTCAAGGGACCCGTAAATCACCCGTATTGTGCGCCAATAGTCAATGTGTATTTATTTTGATATGTATACTTATATACGCTTGAATATTGTATGTTGGTGTTAGCGCGCAGTTTTTTGTGCGCATATGAAGTAGTTGTCGACAAATTAGAAATGATTTGTTTATTATAGGCAGGCAGACTTGGCACCTGGTCCTCCACACAAGTATTAAGCGTAGTTACATATGCACGTAAAAAGAAACATCGCTAATACCTTAACATAATATGCAGATATGTATAATAAATTTTCACCAAAATTGATGTGCTTTTGATATGTTATTTCAGGAAAAGTTGAAATTCGTAACTGTTCTGGGTGCTGGATTATTGGTAGGTACCGCGCTATCCGTTATTATTCCCGAAGGAATCCGCTCATTGTACATGGACACGTTTAAAACCAATTTGCCAGATTTTGCTACGCCCGCTGGAAGAAAATTAGAGAAACCTCTTATCCCTTCTACAACAGGCCATTTAATTAGCGGCAATATAGCTGACTCAGACTTCTCCCGAACGATTGGTTTATCACTTGTACTGGGTTTTGTATTCATGATGCTGGTAGATCAGATATCTCAGCATAAAAGCGCAAGCAGTACAAACGATAAAAACATAACGGCGACATTGGGCTTAGTTGTGCACGCTGCAGGTAAGAAAAAAACATTTTATTTTATTTTATTTTTTTAAGTATACTGCTCTGCTTAATTTCAGCTGACGGAGTGGCGTTGGGGGCAGCCGCCACAACTAGCCATCAAGATGTTGAAATAATCGTATTTCTGGCAATAATGCTCCATAAGGCGCCGGCCGCCTTTGGCCTAGTTAGCTTTCTTTTGCACGAAAAAATTGAACGACAGCAGATACGCAAACACCTGCTTATATTTTCTCTGTCAGCTCCACTATTAACACTACTGACGTATTTTGGCATTGGGCAAGAACAAAAAGAAACATTAAATTCATTGAATGCGACTGGCATAGCCATGCTTTTTTCAGGAGGCACTTTTTTATATGTAGCAACAGTGCATGTGCTACCTGAACTAACACAAAATTCTGGTGATAACTACTCACATTCACATAACCAGTACGATTACCGTCCATTAGATAGTACTTCAAGTGGGATCGAATCGCAGGTTAATTTACGTTCCTCCAATGGGAACGCAATGCGAGGGGGTTCGAAAGGATTGCGTATCGGTGAACTTATAATATTAATATGTGGCGCCTTACTTCCGCTCGTTATAACGTTCGGTCATCAACACTAGTAATAAGCAATATTTTGTTTATAAAATTTTACACAAGAATCACTAACATTTTTTATTATGCCATTTCTGATGTATGTATAACAGCGACATTGTATATAAACATATCTGCGTGTAAATGACTTAGTAAACAACGAAATATTTGTAAAATATTTGGTTGCCCGTTAGAAGATTTAATGAAAATAAAATATTTTAAGTAAATTTATTAAACCAAACGAACTTTCTTGATTTTTTTGGCAAGATTATTTCACTATACAAGTATACTTATTTTACAACAGGAGTTGTCTTTCAATAACGTTTAATGGCACGTAGTCCCAAATTGTTCCTTATATTTGCAAGGGGAGTAGGCAGAAACTCGCGAGTTTGAGTGGGCGAGTGATGAAACTCCTCTTTAATGCGCTGCATGTAACGGCGGCCTCGCAGATCGAACTAGCAACAGCAATGAGGCTGAGCGTCGAGAAGTTTGCCATTCCCACGACATCCGGTTCTACGTACCGGAATGATTCGGGTTTTACCCGACCGAGGGCTGTTTTTTCGGCAATCTATTCCTGTTTGGGTTGTTGTTGTTGGAGCAGCAGTGTTCAACCCCCCAGGTTTTGTCATGTATCGCCGTCTTCATCTTCCGACTCTGTAAGGTTGCAGACAGAGTGGAAGCGAAGCCGAAGATGAAGATGACAGCCGGTTCTACGTACCGGAATGACTCGGGTTTCACCCGACCAAGGGCTGTTGTTTCGGCGATCTAACCCCGTTTAGGTCGGCGAAGTATCTCAGAAGTTGTCCGTCCATAGGGCAACATTCACTACGCATTCTCCTACTCAGGGCTGGCATCGAGTCAAACCCTGGGCCAGAAACATACACCTGCTGTGTATGCCGGAGACGATTACACCACAACTCCACCTCAGTCAAGTGTAATGCCTGCGAGGGGTGGAGTCACCTCAGAGTCTGCTCGGGACTACGGACACATAGACAGTGGACCACGTCGTACGTGGCCCCCTGTTGCTCAAACAGAGCAGCCTCCACGGCTAACCACAGTCCGCCCGAGCAGCCCCACACACTCACACAGCAGCCACACACAGTCACCACAACACAACAACATAATAACACCACAGACCGTACCACAGCCACCACAGACCACATAACACACACAACCGCACCACCACCCACACGCCGCCGCCAACAACTCCTGGTTCCCCCTACAATCTGCACGGTATGTCAGACCAGAATATTCCGTAATGTGACATCAGTCAAGTGCAACACCTGCCTTGGCTGGTGCCACTTTAGGGCATGTTCAGGTCTGCGTACCACGCGAGATTGGACGGGGAATTTCGAGGGCCCGTGTTGCGCTGCTCGGTCGCAGACGTCAATTGCGACGCCCCCCACCACCACCACAGGGCGGCAATCACCTCAGCAGCACACACAGCCAACGGCGGCAAGAACATACACCTCACTCACACCCCACATCACGACACGTCTCCCGAACCACATGAAGCTCCTCCAATTCAACTGTAACGGGCTACAGAGCAAGATTGAGGAGATAACCGTCTTCATGTGTCGGCATGGTATATTAATAGCTGCGGTCCAAGAGACGAAGTTGCACAGCAATTCAACTTTGTTGAATTGCGCCGGGTACAACGTGCACCGTCGAGATCGCGAGCGAGATAATGGTGGTGGCTTAGCGTTCATCACGCACCACACCGTGCAGTATCGTCTTATCGAAGCAGACATCGACCGCAGGGATACCACCCTAGAATGTCAGGGCATCGCTATCCGGTCAGGCGATGTCGAGCTCGAAATATTTAACATATACATACCCCCTGTCACCTGCTGCCCGGCAGGATATCACCCTGATATAGGTGCGCTCCTCAGAGGTGAAAACCGTATGGTAGTAGGTGACTTTAATGCGCACCACGATCTTTGGCACTCAAGCCTGTCAAACGATCGTAGGGGAACAGACTTGGCTGAGCAGATAGACGATTCGACATTCTGCACAATGAACGACGACGCACCCACCAGGATTATGGGTAACTGCAGTAGCTCGCCAGACATCACAATAGTCAGCGCTGGTCTGATAAACAGCATAACGTGGCGACCTATGCTGACTCTAGCATCAGACCATCTACCCATAGTCATCTCGATTGATAAACCAACCGACTTTGCCTCCGCCAAACACCGGACCTATGTCAACTTTTCTAAAGCTGACTGGAAAGGTTACGCGGAGTTTACTGAAAACACCTTCACATCGCTCCCCACACCAACCGACGTCCACCTCGGTGAACGTAAGTTCCGCAGGGCTATCACTGCTGCTGCAGCTCGCTTCATACCGGCAGGATGTATATCGGACCCACGTCCAAACTTCCCTGCCGAAGCGGCTGTTCTAGCTGATGAGCGTGATAGCCTTCGTCAGGCCGATCCCGGAGATCCCCGTATCAGGGATCTCAACGCGGAGATTCGGCAACTTGTAAACGTACATAAGCGGAAGAAGTGGGAGGAGCATCTGAAGACTTGTAATTTCACCTCTGGTGTGAGCAAGCTTTGGTCAACCGTGAGGTCATTGTCTAATCCGACGAAGCACGACGACAGAGTCGAAATTTCCTTCGGCGACCATGCTTCGTCGGACCCGGAGCGATGCGCGAGCTATTTTAGCCGGCAGTTCATACTGCATCCTCCGGTGGACAAAGCCAAGCGTCGAGTGACCAGAAGGCTGCACAAACTGCCAACAAATTGTGCCCCCCTTGCTTTCACTTGCGGTGAAGTTCAGGTGGCCATCGGGAAGGCGAAAGCCTCCAAAGCCATGGGTCCCGACGGAATATGCATGCTGATGCTGAAAAATTTGGGTCCTGCGGGGGTAGCGTACCTAACGGAGGTCCTCAACCTGTCAATGGCCACTCTCATCATCCCAGACATCTGGAAGGTGGGGAGAGTGGTCCCACTGCTCAAACCGGGGAAACCTGCCAACAAAGGAGATTCGTATCGTCCGATTACACTCCTTTCCCCGGTAGCGAAGACACTCGAGGCCTTGCTACTCCCGTACTTCACAAACCACCTGACCCCAGCGAAGCATCAGCATGGTTTCCGTAAAGTGCACAGTACAACAACAGCACTTAACGCCATAAACACTCAGATAACTCGTGGCCTTAACCGTAACCGTCCCTGTGAGAGAACGATTCTAGTAGCGTTGGACTTGTCAAAGGCGTTTGACACCGTCTGCCATTCCACGCTACTAGAAGATATAGAGGCCTCCTCTCTCCCACAGAGGCTCAAACGGTGGTCGGCAAATTATCTGAGTGGTCGACATTCGTCGGTAATGTTTAGAGACAAAACGAGTAAGCAGAGAAAAATAAAACAGGGGGTTCCACAGGGTGGTGTCCTTTCCCCGCTACTGTTTAACTTTTATATTTCAAAGCTCCCTCAACCACCAGAGGGAGTCTCGATTGTCTCCTATGCCGACGATTGCTCGATCATGGCGACTGGGAATGGAATTGATGACCTGTGTTCGAAAGTAAACGGCTATCTCTCCGAACTTTCTCGCTTCTTCACTGCAAAGTGTCTAGCCCTCTCCCCTACGAAATCCTCCGCGACCCTGTTCACAACCTGGACGAAGGAGGTCAGGCTACCGCTGGGGATTCACGTCGATGACACACCAATTCCGACGGTGAATAACCCCAAAATACTCGGAGTAACATTCGACAGCCTGCTCTCCTTCTCTGCGCACTCAACCGCTATTGTCAATAAAGTACAGAGCCGCAACAAGGTCCTCAAGTCGCTAGCCGGCAGTACTTGGGGCAAAGACAAAGAAACGTTGCTGGCAACATACAAGGCAATAGGCCGGCCGGTTTTGAACTACGCAGCGCCAGTGTGGTCGCCAGGGACTAGTAGGACGCAGTGGACGAAGCTACAGACTGTACAGAACACCGCACTCAGGACAGCGACAGGATGCCTCCTGATGTCGCCTGAACACCACCTGCACTTCGAGGCGCAAATGCTCCCTGTAAAGGAGCACAATATAATGCTCTGCAAGCAGTTCCTGATCGGGAGCCACAGAAGTGGCCACCCAAGCAGACAGCTGCTTGCAGAGGAGCCCTCGCCTAGGCACGTCAGGAGGCATCTATATGAACTGACGGACGAAGTCCAGAGGTTCATTAAGCAACCTCTGGACCCGACAGCGTACCGACAGGCGTTATGCCTGCTTACGAGTTATGTTTGCTTACCGAGTTAACTCCTGCTGGCGATGGAGGGAGTTTGGCCTTGTAAAGTTTTGTTGCAATGGAAAATACTACAGATCCAACCCCGGGGTTATGTTCTATGCCGGCGCGGAGCAGTAGTGTACGGAGCAGACTTGCCGGTGGGTCATGGTCCCATGGCAAAAGACGGGGGGTTGCTGCTGTGGTGATAGTCCTTGGTCGGAGTGGGTTCTCCGAGTCAATCCGGTAGAGTAGAACCCACCATCTTGGGATTGGACCATTGGACATTTTATTTAAAATTTATATGTACATTTGTATCCAAAACCAGAGAAATAGCTGTTATAAGGAATATCAAACAAAATTGGTCCATAACTATTAAATTAAATATACATAAGATTTTGTTACTTTACATAATAGTTATTTTTAACCCAAAATAAGTTTTGCCCCCCTATAAGTGTTATTCACAATATTTTTTTTTTCAGTCGCTCATAACTTTTATTTTCGACTTTTTTGTTTTTACGTCGCTCAGTGAGTGTTATTCTCAAGACAAAATGTTTTCCTTTGCTCATAACTTTTATTTTCGACGTTTTTGTTTTTACGTTGCCTGGTAAAAGTTATTCCTAAGAGAAAATGTTTTCCGTTGCTCATAACTTTTATTTTCGACGTTTTTGTTTTTACGTTGCCTGGTAAAAGTTATTCCTAAGACACAATTTTTTCCGTTGCCCATAATTTTTATTTAAGACTTTTTTCGTTTTACGTTGCATGATAACAGTTATTCTCAAGACAAAATGTTTTCCGTTGCTCATAACTTTTATTTTCGACGTTTTTGTTTTTACGTTGCCTGGTAAAAGTTATTCCTAAGAGAAAATGTTTTCCGTTGCTCATAACTTTTATTTTCGACTTTTGTTTCTTTACTTTGCTTAGTAAGAGTTTTTTTCTAAGAAAATTTTCTTTCCGTTGCTCAAAATTAGACATACGAATGTAAGTGTGTTTTAAACAAGAATTCTTTAAAAAGAAGATTAGTAATAACTAAT